TTTTTTTTTCTTTTGTTGCTTATGCTTTTGGTGTCATATCCAACAAATCATTGTCAAATCCAGTGTCATAAGGTTTTTCCCATGTTTTCTTCTAAGGGTCCTATAGTTTTAGCTCTTATGTTTAGGTCTTTGATCCATTTTGAGTTAATTTTGGTAAATGGTGTTAGGTTAGGGTCCAACATCATTCTTTTGCATATGGATATCCAGTTTTCCTAACTTGTTGAAAAGGCTGTTTGTTCCCCATTGAATACTCTTGGCACCCCTGTCAAAAATCACTTGACCATATGCAAGACAGTTTATTTCTAGGCTCTCTATTCTATTCCACTGATCTACATGTCTGTCTTTATCCAGTGCCACACTGTTTTGATCACTGTAGCTTTGTAGTAAGTTTTAAAATCAGGAAGTGTGAGAGCTCCAACTTTGTTCTTCTTTTTCCAAGATTGCTTTGGCTATTCAAAATTCCTTGAGATCCATATAAATTTCAGAATGGATTTTTCTATTTCTGCAAAAAATCACTAGGATTTTGATAGGGATTACAGTAAATTTATAGATCCCTTTGGGTAGTACTGACATCTTAATAGTAAGTCTACCAGTCTGTGAACACAAAATGTCTTTCCATTTATTTATATCTTCTTTTACATGCTCATTTTTTATAGCTAAGAAAAGTGTAATCATTCTTGGTGGCTACTTAACACTAGCTCCACAAATAAGAAGTCCACAGGACTGAGACCAAGGTCACAGCACTGATTTCTGAAAGTCATGCCCTGACCTCCAATAGAAGTAGCCCCCTCAGGGGACACTTTCATCACCCCTTTACTCTTAAGCCTCCCACAGCTTCTGACCTCATCTCTTACTTCCCACTCACTCATGCCATGATTCATTTAGCTAATTAGACCTCAGACTGATGGAGTGGAAAGCTATGTTTTACCTACCCAGCATCCATTCTCCTTTCTTCTATGACAGTATCACAGTTTTCCTTGGGGAACCACCTCTCCTCTCCTATCTGTTCATGTGCTTTGGATGGGGCTTTTGGATAGGGCCCACCAAAGTTCCAGGAATGGGCATCTCCTATGGCTTGAATGTTTGTCCCCTCTGAAGTTCATGTTGAAACTTAATCCCCAATATGGCAATATTGAGAAGTAGGGCCTTTAAGAGGTGATCGGATCATGAGGGCTATTCCCTCATAAATGGATTAATTCATTCATGGGTTAATGAATTAGTGAGTTATCACGGGAGTGGAGGGCACGTTAGCATGCTCAGCTCTCTTGCCAGGTGATGCCCTGCCCTACCTTGTGACTCTGCAGAGAGTCCCCACTGGGAAGAATACCCTCACTAGATGTGACCTCTTGATCCTCAGCCTTGGACTTCCTAGCCTCCAAAACTGTAAGAAATTAAATTCATTTCTTTATAAATTACCCAGTTTCAGGTATTCTGTTATAAGCAAAAGAAAACTGACTAACACAGCATCTGAGCCAGGCTTGTTGAGTGGGACATTTCATCTCCTTGGCCACAGTACGTCCAGAAATGGGCACAGTGAGTCCAATGAGAGCTAATCCCAGGATTTTGACGTGCACAACACAAAAAAGGCACTTTGGTAGCACAAGAATGTGGACAATAAGGATGAAGCAAACCTGGAGGTGCTAGGGGCCACCCGATGGGTCTGAGGATGATGCCAACCTAGAGCAAAGCAAGCCAAGAAATGAAGAGAGAACTTCATGAAAAAATCATTCAAGCACTTGGACCCAATTGTGCCCAAAGTAACTGAACTGTGAACTTTTCAGTTACATGAGTCAATCACTTCCTTTTCTTGCTTAAGCCTTGTAAGCTTGGATTCTGTCACTTGCAACTAAAAAAGGTCCCAACTGAGTCAACTCTAATCTAGCCCCTAATACTAAAACTATAAGTGGGGAAAAAAATTATTTTTCAACGACTCTCTGAATGAATTAATTAAATATTTATGTCTTATTCTTATTCTACAAAGGATTCAAGGTGCCTTACAAATTATACTTAACACAATAACATGAAAATTTATTAATTACAAAACCAGGTCCTGAAAAAACAGATGAAAGACAACCCCAGAGGGATGGTCAGCATGTAGTTATCTATGCATGATATAGGGACTGAGAGGATTATTAAATCCAGGCAACAAGTTTGGCTCTGGGCTTCCTGTCAGGCAAGGCAAAAAGCAAACAGGGTTAATAAAGCAATTCATCCAATTATCCATTCATTTCAAGAGCTGTTAAAATGTTCAAGAGCACCTAAAATCTAATCAGATACAAATCTTATTGTAAGATGCAAATCTGTTGTAATCTTTTCCAAGGAAGGTTCTCTACTTGATTTACAAAGTTTCATTTAATGGCCCATCTCTACCTACAACAATACAAGAAAGGCTTCTCAAGGCCAA